CCTTGGGGCACAGTACATTTGCATAATTGGGAACTTTTGGCTGGAGGTACCTGTAATCGATTGGAAGTAGAGGATCCAATCTCAGAGGTCAAAGCAGAATGAGAGCTTTGGATTTTAAGTCAATGCATGAAGATGACAAAACCAAAGCTATCATTCCTAAGACCTGACACAGCGCTTCACACAGCGGGAACTCCACATGTGGTAGCTCTCACTCACGTGAGCCCCCAGGTGCAAGTAGACCATGAGGTCATAGACGAGAGGGACATCACCAGCGGGACCCTTCATCAGAAATGGGGCCGCTTCTCAGAGAAGTGAGAGACAGAGCCAGGAAAAGGAATGAAAAAAACAAAAACATATGAGAAGAAACAAGAGAACACGGTCTCAGGAGCCCAAAGGAAGGAAGGAATTCAAAGAAAAAGAAGGAATTGGGGTCAAGATGAGTAAGCTAAAGAGTGAAAGGTGCGTGCTGGCTTTGGAAATTAGGAGGCCATCTCTGAGCCTGGCAAAGGCCGTTCCAGTGAAGTGTTGGGAACAGGAGCTGCTACTGAGGGTTAGGAGGGAGCTGGGGGGAGGTGAGTGAGTGAAGACCACCTTTCCGGGAAACCTGGTTATGAAGGGAAATACAGACATGGTTATTGGAAGCGAGAGCAGGGCTCAGTTTTCTCGGCTGTAAAAAAAAAAAGGGCAAATGGAAATGTATGAAGTAGAATGTGCCTCTGTCCTTTTAATTAGTTGCTATTTGATATTTGAGGCCTGCCATATGCTTAGGGAAGCTTTAGTTTCATGTTCTAATTGGTTTGCCTTCTATTTTCCATTTTGCATACTATTTCTATAACTTCATTCTCACTCAAGAAAGCTGGAAATTGGACATTTCCTGGAGCATTCAAAGGCTGAGCTCAGGTGAGGTCACCTCATGATCAATCACATTTGACACATCTTCCCTGGTTCTGCAGTTAATTTTTTCAAGACGTGAAACTGGAGCTTGGTTCCCACAGACACTTTAAACTTTTAGCGTCACCTTACATTTCAGTACTCGTGTTAAGTTTCTAGCGTATTTTACGGCCATTGTTTCATCTCATTCTTACAGTGACCCTTAGAGGAAGGGAATACAGATAAGCTTATCCCTATAGTGTAGACAACAACCAGCAACCAAAAACCTGCCAGCTCTCCAACACACGCAAGATCTCACACTTTTCTGTTCCTCTGCTCTTTACACTAAACTGTCAGTGGCAGTGATGACTTGATTCTTGATCTGGAAAGGACATTCTGACATCCCATTCAGAGAGAAAGAGAGAGAACCTGACAGTAATTTTGCCTAAATCAGCCGAATCGACTTGACCAGCACTCTGGCACTGGATGCAGCATCAATTTCCTCAAGTCGATCTAAGCCTCGGGTGCTCACTAAAATCACCAGGGAGTATTTTTTAAAAAGAGAAATCTGCGCGGGTCTGCCCCAAACCATTTAATCTAACTCTCAACAACTGGAGGTTGAACACTGTTATTTATAAAAAGTTTCCGGGTGACTCTAAAATGCAGCTAAGCTGAGAACCAGTATACATAGTAAGTCAATGATGTGGTGAACACCAAATTAGACAGAGATCCTTTCTCTTTGGGAGTGTATATGATGGAAGCTCCTCCCACCTATGTAGCCAGGGCCAAAACACAGGGGTTGTCCTTAGCACCTTGAATCCACTGGCAAGTCCAGTGGACTTTCCCTTCAAAATACATCTCCAGTCCAATCGCTTCTCATGCTGTCCACGGTCAGAGCATGGACGCCAGAGTCGGGGCCATGGGGTGGGGCGGTGGTTAGTGCCTCTGGGTCACAGAGCAATGTGGTTTTCATGCCAGGCCTAGAGCTTGTCTTCACACTCCAGGGTGTGGATGTGAGGAACATCTCTCAGGGCTTCAAGGAAAATGTGATGAGTTAGACTCATTTCAGGAAAACAATTGTGGAAATTGGTCTGGAATAAAGCCAGAGAGGATGTGACTTGTAATTTGAGGCCCCCTTTCTCTAGGTTCCCGTGGCCTTCCCAACCAGAAACTGCAGGCCAAACTTCCAGCTCTGGCTTACTGGACTTGTCATGACCATCAGATAAAATGTTTAAGAATTAGCCATTTCTGGCAGGGCACAGTGGCTCAGGCTTATAATCCCAGCACTTTGGGAGACTGAGACAGGAGGATCGCTTGAGCCCAGGAGCTCGAGACCAGCTTAGGTAACAAAGGGGACCTGCCTCCCACCAAAAATTAAATAAATAATAAGAAGAAATAAAAGAGCTAGGCATTTCTGTATAAATAAGGAATGCACTTTATGGTTGTGAATACTACATGTCACCTCTGGGGAAAAATAGTCACAAAAAATTAATGTTATGGTTTGGTAAGTCAGATAAAATCAGAATATTTAACTATCAGAGAAAGAAGGCCACAGTTTATGTCATCATCTCAGGATGAATGTCTGTTTTGTGCAGGCTGCTGCTTCCACAGCAAGGTCACACGCGGAGGAGCCCGGCCGGGAATCCTGGCCCCTGGTGCTCCTGCATCACCCCAGGTCTGTCTCATCTTCCATGCTCTAGACACGCCTGCCTCCTCCCTGCTCCCTGACACCAGCCTCTTACACACTGGCTCTTCTCATGGCTGGCTCTTTAGAACTTAGTGAAAACATTATCTTACCTTCTTAGAAAGGGCTTTCCTGGCCAACTTATCAAAATCCATCGCCCCTGCTGACCCCTAGAATACTTTGTTGTTTCTTTCTTAACACTTACCACAACCTGAATGTATTTGTGTTTCCCTTACTGCAATGTAAGCTGCAGGCAGCAGCAAGCATGTCTGCCTTCTGCATTGGCTGCATGCAGGTGCTCAGTTAAAATAATAGGTGCTCAGTTAAAAACTGGCCGAATAGAAAGAGGCAGGGAGTGAGAAGCAAATCTAAAAGTGTGTATTCTGAGGCACAGCAGGCACCGCTGTTCTGCAACAATATTCTTAACATGAGTGTGCCTTGTATGCTGAAGATACACGTCATGATGCAGTTCAAAATGAAAATATTGACTTATTGACACTGAGGACAGATACACACATACACATTTTTGGCCAGAATGCCTATTCCCACAGCAAGTATACACGTCCTCCCCACGGGGAACTCCTGCAAACGGGTACACACACATAACAGACATTCACATGTACCCCTTCTCACACAAGCTTTTGGGGCTACCCACCACATATGAGTCCATATTGTAATAATATGGTCACATACGGATGCTATAAGCTACATGTTGAGATGAGCCTACTGGCATTACAACAAAATGCTGTTCCCACCTCACCCAGGTCCCCGTGCCCTTACAAAATGTCACTAACCTGGAATTCTTCGAGTGCCTATCACCCACATGGCTCTCATTCCTGAGGCAGAAACCCAGAAGAGTTGGGACAGCTACCTAATAATCATGGTTTTTCCTAGTTTTCTAAACGATGATGCTCGTGACCCACAATCATCAGGTCAAGCTTGGCCCCAGTAGATGTGCCAAATCCCCCTCCAACACACCTTGTGATGGCTGCCAGGTGGCTGGCGGGTGGGAAGGAGAAAGCTGGCAGTCAAAAACCAGAGAAGGCCTGAGCCGGTCCACCCCAGGGGCAGGCCCATAGCCCTCAGCAGCTTCTCCCTACGATTCCCTCCAGGGAAGGTTACCAGACAAAAGATAGGACACAACCAGTTACATCTGCATTTCGGATAAGCAACAAATACTTTTTTTTTTACAAAACAGTGTGTCCCAAATATTGCATGAGACATATTTCCACTAAAATTAAATACATTGTTTACTTGAAATCCAAATTTGACCAGGCATTCTTCTAACTTGCTAAATCTGGCAACTCTACCCCCAGGGAAAGTCTACATAATGGCTCCCGCCATCCAAAAAACTTTATACTATTCCATATTTTTATATTATTCATGTCTACAAATATTTTAAATAAACTTTCTTTAAAACAAATAGCCCACTCCTTTTTCTGTATCTATTGTTTTTAATTTTGCTTACCAATAACATGACAAAATTCTCTTCAATATGTTAAGCTTTTCTTTCAGAGAATATCATCACCACCACCATACTTAACTTGTACTTTGTATATTCAATTTGTAACAATGTCCATGAAACAACATTAGAAAAATGTGCACATTTCGCATTTGGGTCTTTTAATCAAACCATCAACCTTTCTAAAAGCTCAGTTTCCAAGGTAAGCTCTCTAGATGTAAATCACCTTATCATTACTCACATAAAGTGGCCCACTGCAGCTATTCCAGGAAGTGACAGAGGATTTTCACAATCTCAACTGCTCTTCAAAAAATCTGCTTTCTATTATGAAAAATGATCTAAAAATAGTTCTATATAATACAAGGACCAAGCCATCTGTGTGATCTCTCCAAAGAGCTCATATTTCTATAGATTTTATCACTTTCCAACTGTCCCTACAAGCACTGAAATTTAAGGAAGTCCTGTCAGTTTATCAGATAAAATGCAACAAAACATTAAATTTAATCACTATTATTTCAATCATTTCATATTCTTTTAATCATAAAAGGCTCATATCAAACATGTCATAGTAAACAAAGTTAAGACTGCATTAAAACTCATGACAAATGGGTTTTTAAGTTGTATAAATATATTTCTACCAATAATCAATTCAAGAAAAATGTTAATTAAATAGACATAAATATAGAAGAATACCTATCATTCAGTTAAGCTGAACATGGAAGTTGTATATCTGGGATTGTAAACCCTGGTTTTTGTTAAAAATGAATTTTTGGTATTTGCAAATCGTGTTCGATCCCTCATCAGCACTGTCAATCAAATTGGTTTGCATTTTATCTTCTTAAGAATAAAGCTTCCATTCTATAACAATACAGTTAGCATTAATGTGAGTAGAGACAACACTTGAATCAAAGAATACCAAAGCAGTTAATGTGATTGAAAAGTTTTGGCAGTCTCAAAGCTGCGAAAAGAAGGACAGGAACTGACCTTGAAGTCGAAGCTCTCCGCTGGGATCCAGAGGTCTCCATCCAGCAGAGAGGCACTGACAACTTCGAAAGCTCCTCCCTGGTCCCATAAGCTCACCCCTGAATCAAAAGGAAAACAGTCCCATATTTCACTCTAGTCAGTAAGAGTTTGGCATCAGAAGCTTATTAAATCAATGACACAGTGAAAATATTTGGAAGTTAAATAAGCCCAGGGAAACACTATAACCCATAAAATCATGATAAGTGTTAAAACTGCTGAATTCTCTGTCAATCTAACCATTAAAATTTTGTAACTTAAAGAAAACAAAAGTTAATTAATTTGTTCCTTCAAGACCCATAACACAGGCTAGAGTATTATCATCGACAAGAAATATAATTCAGTCCTTCAGCAAGCAACACAAATGCAAAAGTCGCTTTTTGAAATGATAAATTAATACTTTAAGATCTGCTCTGTATTAAAAGTCTCAAGGCTTTCGCTGTATTAAGACTAAATCCATTTATTCAAATCCCAGTGAATCTGTGAAACACAATGCCAATTCTCCTCTCTGCACTTACGGAGTCTAATTTTATATGCTCTAGTAAGTGATTCTATAGACAAAATTAATTTTCCAGTTCAGACGACTAGACTGGTTCATGTTTTTAAAAAAATCAAGTCATTCAATAAACTATTATATGATCTTGTTTCTTGGGGTCCTGTCTGTTGAACCAGTTAATATACCAAACAGGTTCAATTTAGCCCCATTTCCATAAACAATCCTAATGGAAAATATAACATTTTTCTCTTCTGGAGGGTGTATCACTTTCTCAACAAATACGGTAATTTCTTTGGGCTTTCTCTCCTATGAGGTCATGCTCCTGCTATTTGGTTCAACCACAGCATATCCCTCAAGGTGAAGGATGGGACCAGATTCCCTCACATGTTATTCCCATTTCTTCAAGCAGGACTCATAATTTTCAGACCTGAGTCATAATAGCACAGTTTTAAGTTACTAAAGAGTTCACATTTATTGGGCACAAATGGTATTGAAATTTTAATCCTAGACATTTTACAGTTCCCCAAATACTTTTAAATCCACACCGTTTTATCATGCTCAATGTGGAAGTCTGCAGTTATATTCAGGTTACCAAAGGATTACTACTCACGTATTCACTGTCTGACACAACCTCTTTGAGAAATTCTCAAGCTGGTCGCAAAGCATTTAAAACTCTCAGGTGTTAAGGACCAAGGGGACAAGGTACAGGAATGAACTAAAAGTCCGAAATACAGCCAGTGGGAGAGGGCTGAGCTGCGTCCCTCCGCCGCATAGGGAAGGAAGGAGGGAGGGGACTGTGGGCCCAGGGCATGTGGTCTCCAGGCGGGGGATGGGCTGAGTCTTCAGGGATGAACCTGCATTCAAGGGAGAAGGGATCTGGCAGGGCAAGCAGAGGTGCTGGCTCTGATGGTGACATCTGTGACATCCTTGGAGGGCTGCCTGGAGGTGAAAAGAGTTGATTTTCTGAATGGAAAGCATCAGAAGTCCTCCTGGCTGCAGGGAGGCAACCATGGCCAACGTGGAGATCTTGAGTAAGTGTGTCTCCCTCTTCCTGTCACTTGAGCCCATGCCTTCTGCATGCTCAAAGGCAGGAGAGCGCAGGCTTTGGAGGAAGATGCACCCTGCAGAAGCACCAGCTCTACCACACATCAGCTGCAGGTCTGCAATCCAGCCGGGTCTGACATGTTTACTCACTCACTCACCAAGTATTCAAAGTCTACCTGGTAACAGGCACTCTTGGCAGTGACTATAGACCTGATGCCTTCTATCCAAAAAGCCCATTCTTTCTTCTCTATGCCAGCACCCCCAAAGTGAGCCAGCTCCCTGTTGTCTATGCTGCTGAGACCCTCATCTCTTGAACACAGCTTCATCCCAGAAGGCCTGGCTCTCTGGGTCCTGTGGATCTCAGAGAGGGACACAGAGAAAGCTGCCCTCAGGACTTGCATTCTTGTACTGGGAGAGGAACGATGAAACAAGACCACTTCAGAGAGCAGCAAGTGCTGTGAAAGAAACAGCAGCACCACAGCAACTCCGTGTTCAAACTGTAACCTTCCTGTAAATCAAATATTATTTCAAAATTTAAAAATTAAGAAGAAAAGCAGGGCGACAGCAGAATGGCTGGGGATGATACTTCTGAAGGACAGGCCAAGAAACCCCCTCTTTTTATTGGGGATGGAGAGCATATAAGCTGAGAGCTGACGATGAGAAGCATCCAGCTGCACATACAGCCATGAGGACAGACAGCAGCAGAGGGAGCACAAGGCTTTCCTTTTCCATAAAATGAGGCAGAGCGAGGTGAGCCCGAGGGAAATCACAAGATGTGTGAGGGGCGCATAGGCCGGTTTTAACGGCACTGCTCTCAAGGCTTTGCCAAGACCTGGGTGGTCTCTTGCTCAAGAGCCCATGGGATTCACATGTTGGAATGCACAGAAACAAAGTGAGTTCTGATCCAGTTATACAGCTCCTGCAGAGGCAGGCTACAGAGTATAATTAACTGAACTTATAAGAGAGCTGTCACATTACTGGAATTGGATTCAGGCAGCTTTAAAGTACTGGCAATTATGGAGTGAACACTGGAGATCCATCTGAACTTTCCCTTCACCTGCTGAAAACCACACCATGCCGAGAGTTACCAGGGGCATCGTTGTAATCTTCGGAAAGTCAGCTAAAACTGTTAAGAAAGTGATCGTGACCATTTAAACATATCATCCACATAAACCAGTTTAATTATATGCTACTCCTGGCAGTGCTGAGTTTCCAACACAAGTGAATTGTTAAACTGAGTAATCACAAATCAATCCCATTGCCAAGGGTCTGTGAAATTGGGCAGAGAAAGAGTTCTAAAGCTAGAATCCTGTATCACCCCCAACCCAGCCTCAGCAATGGGGAGGTTGGAATGGTTGACACGGGTATTACAGCCTCACCACCCAAAGGACTAGAAGGTTTTCACCCAGGCCTCAGATACCTGGAGGAAACGTCTCTGCACTTAATGACTTCCCTTGGGAAGCTGTATGTGTGAGGAGGAAGGATATGGTGTGTGAAATCCAAGTCTCCTAGTTGAACCGTTTGCACGTGCTCCCGCAGTGAGGGGTGAAGGAGGGACAGTAACTCCACACCTTGACTTTGGGGAAGCTTGGGAGGTGTTGGTGGGGCCTCCTATTAGATAATCAGGGTGAGGCTGCAGAAACCAAGTATAATGAACAACCTCTAGCCTCTGGACTGTTTCTTCCAAGGCTCTCTTGGTGGCTGAGAAAGGCAAAGTTATTTAGTTTCCTGAAGGCAAAATATTCCAACCAGTGAAACATTTCCCAGTTCACCTACATATTCCATTATCTTAATCCAAAAGGAGCCGTTTTTGGCAAATATGTTTCCCTTGAAGAGGCTTTATTTGCAAATATTCAAAGGAGAATTTAGAAGCAGACTGTGGCAGCCCTTGTAGGAGGTGGTGCAACCTGTCTGAGAAGTTGAGTAACCACTATTTGCTGTGTACAGTATGTATTACCTATGTACATGGATAATGAAGCCATCTCTCAGCTTTTTAATTGGCTACAACATCCTCTCAGCAGTGTTCGTAGTCACAGGACTGTCTCTTATGAGCTTTTCTTATGTATTTATACATTGGTGTTTCTTTTAGATGACGCAAATAAAAATATTATTTCTACTGCCCGGAGTAGACAATAAATTATACACAGATGTGAGGGATCAGAATGTGTTTTATGGAGTGATCTGATTGATAAATTATAAACGCAGGACCTGAATGATGAATACATGCAAGCCTGAGAAACCCAGGGAAAAAATACGACCCTATAAAATACACAGTTTGCATGCATTTTACTTTTATAATAATATTTGGGCATCAGCAGAACTCACGATTACCTAAATAAAAAATGTGGATAGATTATGCTGGGCAGGAACTTTCAGCTTTTTGCCACTGGGTAACCTGACACACTGCTTGTAGTTTTGATAAAATGGCTAGTTTGCTTCAGCCTCATAGTGGAAAAAAACAGATTGTCCATCTCTAAAGGTTATCCGCCGTGATCATCAGCTGTGCTTTCCCGTGGGAGGTGTCTGCCTACTTTGCTTGTCTCCTTGTCTGAGTCTGTCATTTTCAGACCTGATTCAGGCTGGTCAAGAGAAAAGTCATGGACTAGTTCCTCAGGCAATCATCTTTGCAATGAAAGACTTTAAGGTTACCGGAAAGGAGGCAAAGAAGAAACCTCTCAAAGTGACTCCAGATCCTCCCCTCATGTCACCCAGAGCCTGGCTGTCCGCAGGAGTCCTGCCCCATTCTTGCTCTGGCCAACTTTCCTTTGGTAGCTTATGAAGAGAAACTGGAAAGGCTATCCAAGTCCACACCACCCTGATGCCCACATCACAAGTTTCAATTCACAAGAGGTGGAGACGGATGCAGCAGCTCTAAGACACATACAGTGAAGAGGGGACATCTTGGAGCCACAAGACCTGACCCTGGTCCTCACTCCTCCTTGATTTATTTCCTTTTGTCAAAGCCTGACATCTGAGTTTCTACCCTCTACAAAATGAAAACTGCACCTCTCCTCTAAGATTCTCAATAGGTTGAGAAATCTCAAGTAAGTCAATGTGGAGAGGACTTTTGAAAAGCTTAATGCATTAAATCAGTCTAGGATATCAGAATCCAAGTTTCTAGACTTCCAGGCAGTGTCTGTCTAACCAAACCACACAATAGGTCTGAAAATAACAACGCCTTATTGATCATTCGAAAAGGCCAGTGTTTCCGTGGATGCCAGTGGGTATTGCCCTAAGCCACCCCTCAGGCCATTGAGAAAACAAACTCTGATGAGATCATTAGTCAAGAGAAATTTAAATATCACACCTGGAGTTCTGGCTTGAAAGGGAAATCATTATCAGCACCTACCTGAACTGTAAAATGGAGAATCAATCTGAGGTGCAAAAAGTAGAATTAAGATAATCATAGTTTTGAAAATCCAAGTGAAAACAAAAAGTTGAGGTGGCCATTTGCAAAGAAGCCAGGGACAAGCTTTTAGAAACTGATTACGCATTTTTTTTTTATCCCTTTAATATCCGAGA